GGAGCTGAAAGGTGGACTTGGAAGGAAAGATTCTTTAACGGATTTCGGGATGTGCCTTTGTCCCCCTTATAGAGACACCTGAACGACAGCGTTTTAGGTGTTCAAATGTCTCATTCATTTACTTGTTTATATTTGGGGATTTTGTGGGTTGATGGAATTAGGCAACGAGGGGTGGTTTTCCTTCACCGGAGGATTGGAAAGAAATACACGCCCTTTTAATGGATTTTATCTAAATATTATAAAAATTTATAGACTAGGTATTTAAATAGTTTCTGCATTCATTAATTTAGTTCTTATATTTAAAATTTAGTAAATTTAATTTTTTAATTTTGAAAATTTGAATAATTTAATCTCTTTCTCTTTATTCTGTTCAATTTTATTGATAGAAGTGATGATGTCAATGATTATGTAATAAATTTATTGACATGATATTATCACACATAATAGTACTACATGGCATTAACATAATAATGTGACAATACTAATATGACATATTGAGAAAAAAAATTTTTAAAAAAAATATGAGCCATCTCATAAGAATTAAATTAAAAAAATTATACAATACAAAAATTAGATTGAACAAAATTGAAGAGTTTAGAAACTAAATTAAATAACAAAGTATTTCAAAAGCACAAATTTTTAGTTGATGATATGTATAAGTTAAATTTTTAATTGTAAAAAATTTATAGTGATAAGAAATAAATATAAATATTTTTTACTTGATTCTGTAATAGATATATTAATTTATCTTTTTCATAAAAATTAAGTTTGAATTTTATTTTATTAAAAAAATTTCAATATTTTGTAGATTTATTTTTATAAATATCATGACTAAAATCATTATCAATTAAATTTTTTTCTTTTTTATTAAACTTGATTTTATTTTTAATCGAATTATTTCATAATCCATTTATAAAAAAATAAAAACATTTAATTGTTTTTTTTATAATATATATATATATAACCAAAATAAGTCCCATTAAATGCTTTAACGACAAAACAATTTATCAAAAAATAATCTCATTTAACATTGTGATTGAGTACTTTGACAAAATATTGCTTTCCTTCTAAGATTAAAATTGCCAAGAAATCGTCTTTTTCTTTGTACAATGGTGGCTCTGATTGAGTGTTTAATGACAGTTGAACTGACTTGTCATATCTTTGCAAGTATTCTTCCATGTTTAATGGTAATGTCTAGTAATATAGTATTAGTTACTTTTAAGATATATCTCTCTATTAGAGATTTAATATATAGATAATTATAATTATTTGAAAAAAAAAAGTTAATCATAAACTATGTAATAAAACATAAAACATAAAACATTTAAAGTAAAAATTCTCCTTCCAAATCCTTTAATTTGACTTTAGAAACATTCTTTGTGGCATTAGTGGGATTACGATTTATTTCCATAATCCCGTCCTTTGCATAAATCCTCCAATGAAGGAAAACTATCGCTCGTTAATTCCATCAACCCACAAATTCAATGAGACATGTGAACACGTAAAATGCCGTCCCTCAGGAGTCTATATAAGAGGGCAAAGGCACAGCGATCCCGAAATCCGTTAAAGAATCTTTCCTTCCAAGTCCACCTTTCAGCTCCTTCTTTCATTATCATACGCTACATATCCTCTGTCACTCCACCAACACTCTGAAAAACATGGCGCTCGCACTCTCAGCCTCCGTTAATCTCACCGCCCCAAGACGCTCTCTACTCGGTACCACCACCCGCTTCCCTCTATCCCCTCCAATCCCGACCCTCCACATCACCGAAACACCCAACCCCATCACTATCCCCTCCGTCTCCGCCTCCTCTCCTCCTCCCTCTACTGATTATAACCAATGGTCTCTCGATTCCTGGAAGTCAAAACGGGCCCTCCAACTTCCTGAATACCCGGACGTGGACGAGCTCGAATTGGTACTTCAAACAATCGCGTCGTTCCCGCCGATTGTCTTCGCGGGCGAGGCAAGAAAGCTGGAGGAGAAGCTGGCGAACGCCGCCGTCGGGAAGGCGTTCCTTTTACAGGGTGGGGACTGTGCGGAGAGTTTTAAAGAATTCAATGCCAACAACATCAGAGACACTTTCAGAGTGCTTCTGCAGATGGTCATTGTCCTCACTTTTGGTGCCCAAATACCCGTCATTGCGGTCTGTTTATTTGATAAAATCCCAAGTTTCTCTTGGTAACTTTGACCCATTTAAGAAAAGTTTAATATCTGACTTTTTTTTCTTTTAATTGTATGACAGGTTGGAAGGATGGCCGGGCAATTTGCAAAGCCAAGGTCAGAGCCGTTTGAGATAAAAGATGGAGTTCAGTTACCGAGTTATCGTGGAGATAACATAAATGGTGATGCTTTTGATGAGAAATCTAGAGTTCCCGACCCTCAAAGGTTGATCAGAGCTTATCTTCAATCTGTTGGTACATTGAATCTCCTTAGAGCATTTGCTACCGGTGGCTATGCTGCTATGCAAAGAGTCTCGGAGTGGAATCTCGATTTTGTTAAACATAGTGAACAGGGAGACAGGTGGATTCTTAATTTTTGTTTCATATATAGGCACCTCTAGCATCGCTATAGGAGCCGCATACATTTGCAATAATAGCTGAATTTGTTCAAAAAAGCAGTCCACCTACGTTTGCGATTGATCGCAGTTTTCATTGCAAGGCGAATTTAGGTTTTGTTTCTTGTTGTATGCAGTAGAATCTGACTTTGATTTATAATTAGGTACATGGAGCTTGCACAGAGAGTTGATGAAGCTTTGGGATTTATGGCTGCGGCTGGGTTAACTGTTGATGACCCTGTAATGAACACATTTGACTTTTGGACATCCCATGAATGCCTTCACTTACCATATGAGCAAGCCTTGACTAGAGAGGATTCAACGACTGGCCTGTATTATGACTGTTCTGCTCACTTGCTTTGGGTAGGGGAGAGGACTCGGCAGTTAGATGGAGCACATGTTGAATTTCTCCGGGGCATATCCAATCCTCTCGGCATAAAGGTACGTGGTGCTTATAATATTTAGAGTCTAAAAGGCATTGCCAGTTGTTTATAGGATTTCATTATTGTGAATTATAAAGTTGTTGAGTAGGCTTAGTTGATTTGACATAGGTGAAGCTGAAGTGCATGTCATTTTCATCTGTTGGTAAAACGTTCCTCTTATTCTTTTAATCAGTGCCTAGAGGGAGAAAAAGCCTGACCATAGTTTTAGGTGTTATGTTTGAATAGTGCTTTTTGGTTGCTGATATCTGCATTCGTTGTGTAGGTGAGTGATAAGATGGACCCAAAGGAACTTGTAAAATTGTGCGAAATTCTGAACCCTTGGAACAAACCTGGAAGACTGACAATAATCACCCGAATGGGAGCTGAAAACATGAGGACAAAGCTTCCACATCTTATTAGGGCTGTGCGCCAGGCTGGGCTTATTGTCACCTGGGTAAGCGATCCCATGCATGGAAACACATTTACGGCCTCATGTGGTCGCAAAACTCGTGGATTTGATGCAATCAGGGTAAGAACGCTTGAACTTATATGTTAGCATATTATTCCGGACCGTTTCAGTTGTGCACTTATGATGAAGCCTAAATGAGAATCATTTTTTGTCTCTTTACATTGTTCTAAGGCTGAGTTGAGGGCATTCTTTGATGTCCATGATCAAGAAGGGACCTATCCTGGAGGAGTTCATCTGGAGATGACAGGGCAAAATGTAACAGAGTGCGTTGGAGGGTCAAAGACTGTGGCCTTTGATGACTTGAGCTCTCGGTATCACACGCATTGTGACCCTAGGTTGAATGCATCACAGTCATTAGAGCTAGCCTTTGCCATATCAGAGAGGTTGAGGAGGAAGAGGCTCGAGTCTGCTAATAAATTTCGCGGTGCTTACAGATTTAATTAATAGTCTTATGGCGTAAGCCAACTGCTGGACCTTGATTCTGTTAAGAATAGTTATATATTTAGTTTGCTTTCCCTTTTTCTTGTGTCTGGAAAGGAGAGATCCTTTGTGATTGTAAATAACTCTCCTTTCGTTACTGAAAAAGTAGTCTGTTGGTATCAACAGAATGCATGGAGTAGCAAGAGGAGGAAACAGGCCAACTGGTGGTGTTTCTTATTCTTACTCCATGTCCTTGACTTTATTTATTGGGCGGTGGGGGGTTCTGATGGGGTGGATGTAATTGGGGTTGATGGGTGTGAGTTTTGTATAGTTGAACAGGGCATTATTTCTGCCACGGTTTTTGCAGGCCAGGTTGCTATCAACTGTACCCAGGCTGATGCCTCCATAGTCGGGTTACACAGACTTGTATACTCAGAGGTCTCCCCCGCTTTTGATTTGAAACAAAATTATTTTTTTTTTAAAAAAAAAGTAGTCTGTTTGGGAGATTGTGTGTGGAATTTTATGTATAAAATTGGTCGGTGTTTTGTTCCTCACTTTACATTGCATAAAAGCTTGGTTACCATTGAAAACCAAAGTAATACCAGCAATTAAGCAGTGGCAATGATACAACGGTGGGGTTACAAACCCAAGTGCGAGGCTTCGATCGCTTGGTACTTATGCATGCCAACTTTGCGATCATCACCGGAGGACCACAGTGCCAGCTAGAGTAGAAGAATCATCACCAAGTATCAAACATAGAGTTTTTATCAACGCCAAATTTGGCCAAGGACTCCGCAGAAGGTATTACCTTCTCTTTGTATCTGCAACAAAGGGGACTTCACCAAGAGAGAGTTATATCGCGTCAATTTCATGGAAGATGCGTCATTTATCCCAAGGCTTTTGGTCGACTTTGTTTACCCCTGATAGCACCTCTTTTGAATTCGACTCGATGGTGAGAGATGACACTGCAAAGGAGGAAGAAGAAAATAGACAGAGACTGAAGAACAGCCATAAACTCTATATAATTAAA